CAGTCCGAGACCATTATTCAACCCTCTGCGAAGCTTTAAGGGAATAATATTCTGTGTACACGGACCAGGCCTCCACAGCACTTGGTGCTTTGGCAATCCAGCAAAATAAAAGCGAAGCACCTAGAGAGTATGACCATCGCCTGAGAGCCACTTACTTCCAAGGTGGTAATGCTCCTGGCATAGAGGAGGAACATGCTTTTAAATCTCTGTTCCTCCAGAACCTTCATGAAAGCGCACGTTACGACGTTACTATGTACTGTGAAACAAAAACCCTCACCATGCAAGAGATCCGTAAATATGCTCAGATGGCGTGGGAAACACGTGCAAGCCCTACTAATGGATCAGAAGGTGAAGTTAGGGTTTTACAGGTGCACACAGAAGAAGACAGTGGTGCATTAGAAGGCAGAGAAATGCCTTCAAACGGAACCCATGTTAAGAACAGGTTAAAGGAACAACTTATGTTCGGTCAGCTGGACCGGGGGGGTGGTACGGAGTACCAACCACAGTCAAAGTTGCTGGACCGCTTCAGGTCGAACAGACGACCTGACCATCATGTGAGGCCCAAAGGTAAGGCTGACGGTAAAGGTTGGAGTCAACATGCAGGATGGAACCCGAGGAGAGAGATGGAGGATGCCTTCCGCAAGATTCTGACAGAAGCAGTGCGCCAAGCATGCGCCCAACCTCCACCATCATTAGAGGCAGCTGACCATCCGGTGAAACTGGATCCAAAATCCCCACCAGCACAACAAGGCGTGGACCCAGTCTCCACAGCCATCAGAGGCTACCTGATCAGACGGAGAGACAAACCTGGGAAACTCCAAGAACCCCTTGGGACCTCTCCAGGAGAAACACCACAAACCATTTCTCCAAGGTTCTTAGGTAAACTGAACCAAAATGAACATACAGATTACCTATACTATCTTAGGACATGTCAAACTGAGGTTCCATTTTAAAACAGGATCAGAGATCAGCCTGATGTTCTCGGTCTTGTTTGAGGAGGTGAGTAGAGCCATGCTCTCCCTCAGTAAACCATTTCAGGCCGAAGCTTGTGATGTAAGCATCACCAGCTGGGTGGAGATGGACATCACACTCAAAGACATGACTCTGGTGCACCCCATCTATATGTGCACATTAAACACATAGCTTTTCCTCGGTGGCCAGGACTTGCTGGACAGGCTGGCCCCACTCATTGACTACCACCAGGACCAACTCTGGGTCCAGGCGGAGGTGCCAAACCCACTGGGTGCAAGCAGCGAACGATCCGTTGTGACCAATCAGGTCACCAGCTTAGAGGAGCCCAAAGAGCCTCTCAGGCCCTCGTCAGAGCCGGTCATGGGCACCTCTGAGACACAGCTGCACCCAGCAACCCAGAAAACTCCTCCCAGATGCAGTCATGCATCATTTCCTCACTCTTTAAAGAACCCAGGTGTGAAACCTCACAACCCCAAAGTGGTGGAAGATGTACACTTGGGAACCATGTTCATACCAGACGTGCTTCTAGCTTTCTGGCTAGAGAAATTATCAATTGGTAGAGAGCTGTATGACCGCATGTGCCAAGAAGATCCCCTTTTAACTGAGGCACAACACAGCCACACACTCCTCTTAGCAGACGGGCTCCGCCCTCTCCTTAAGACAGCCAGAGTGTGCACCTCCAGTGTGCAGATTGGCATCAAACAGCTCTCCCATGCTTTCAGCATTGTTCCAACAGACCAAAGGGGGATCAAATTAGCCTACGCCCATTACTCTCCTGTAGGGGGCCATAGGAGCTGCAAAGCCACACTCCACACCCTCCAACAGATGGCGTACTGGCCTCCAACGTCTCACGACACTCAGGTCTACATCCAAGGATGCTTAACTGGCTGGCAGTTTCAGCCATCCCATCCAATCGGTCAACCTCCGCTTCAGCGAAGGGGAGTTACATTACTTTGGTTCCACCTTCAGACCAACTGGGTCGAACCAGCTCCAAAATTAGCAGGAGGTAACAAATTCCTCCTAACTGTGACATGCAGCTTCATTAAGTCAGCACCAAATGACACCGTTATCCCATCTGCTGCTCTTTTGCTGAACCAGATGAAGTTCCACATCGAAGTCTCCTCCCCAAGAACAGAGCTTGTCTCCATGTCCGGGAAAGGAGAGACCAGTGCGTAGGGCCAGTTTAAATAGGTGCATGTTTCATAAACTCACATTAACATGCACTAACCACTAATATACTCATGTTAAACGTTGGTTTTAAGATAACACACTGCATAGTTTGTTACAAACCAGGATTGACTCCTTCACATTTATTGACCCATGGTTCATAGCGCTACCTTTGCCAATGCCACAGGCTGATTCCCGTGCCTGACTGCAATTGGACGACTAAGCTATGACCCCATTATTTGGTTATCTTGTTTTTTTTTTTTTCTTTCTTTTTATTGTTGTTTCACTTTGTCTCAGGGTTACCAAAGCTGATGACCAAAAGAATGTGATGATGATGATGTGAATGTATTGTTTTGTATTTTTCTCATGGAATGACATAGACAGGTATGAGTTAGTCAGAGTTCAGTCCTGCCCAGGCTTACCTTGTCCTGCCCAGTCATAGGCCTTTGAGAAACAAACTGAACTGTGAACTCCCGTTCCTGCCAAGAGGAACACAGGGACAGTATTTGTGTTTTTTTTCCCCTTTATTTCTTTTGCTTCTTCACGGATCATAATTCATTGAGTCTCAGATCCTATGATGGATGGACCCAGTAGCTTCAAAGACTGCGATTAATCACACCCTTCGAACCTAGGGGGGGATGTTGGGGCCATCCATTTGGTCGCAGCTCTGACGTCACTGGAAGTATAAACCGGAACAACACCTGAGGATATCTCTGATTTCTATTCGTAAGTGATGATTTTTGGTTAAGAAATTAATATTTTTCTAATTATTATTTTAAATTATGATTCTTGATGAATATTAATTCATCAATAATCATATTCCTTACACATCTCTGGTAATAGTTATTAATTATTACTGAGTATTTAACGGTTGTAATTATCAAAGGCGTTGAGCCACAATTACAACACCAGAAAACATCTCTGGTCTCAATTCATAAATGAGGATTTTGGTTAAGAAATTAATTGTGTCAAATTATGATTTTTAATTATAATTATTGATAAAGATTAATTAATCAATAATCATAATTCCAACACGTAAATTATTTATAAATTTGCACATGATTTATGGTGAAACTTTGACTCTGGAGAAGTGCCACAGTGACATGCTGCTGACCAGACAAATCCCAGTGCAAATAGTGCCATGATCATTTGTTCCCAGTGCCCTAATCTACATTTTTGATTAGCAACGTGATTTTTTTTTTCAAAGATGCAAAAAGCTTATCAAAAGTCATGCCACATTTTATTCAGGGTAAAAAAGAAACTACTGAGGGCAAACACCTTCTGTAATACATTTTTAGCTTTGTTAAGCTTTGTGCAGTTCTAATACTTATTGATGTTGTTTAAATACATTTTCAGACCATCTTTTTTTAAATATGCTCGACCCAGAATGTACATTAACATAGGACTACAGAGTCTGCACTTGAAACATCAAATTTGTGAGTTATTGAAGGATGGCCCTAGAGGGACAAACCCACCCGCAGGAGCCCAGTGGCCATGAATTGTACCTCCATCTTTGAAAGGGAGCTCCTGAATAAAACATGACTGAGCATAGAAGTACTATATTATAGGTTTATAGAACAAATCCCCTACAGTTCTTAAGAATACTACCATAGGTATACATTTAGATCAGTGGATTGGGGAGGAGAATGAATTTCCCTGATGTAGTTCAACAGTAAGATAAGGCTATGAAAGAATCCAGGTCAGCCATGGGGGACAAAACCACTTCGCTGCACCAGCAGGGGGGCTCATGGGGGACAAAGCTGACTGATGCTGACTCTGGTGTAGCAACACCCTGCTTGTGCATCGGCTGTTTGCTCACCAAGAACATGGTCGAGCGCCAGAAGGCCAGCCTCTGCCTCTCTGTGGAATTTCAACCTTGTGTTCATCACACACAGCCAATCGATGAAAAGTTCTTCACCTACACTGAGCCGTGCCTGTAAGGGGGATGACACCCTGATCTCTGTCCAGTTTCTTTACCACTCTCAAATTTATACTGCCTGCTTGCCTTGGATTAGCTTAGTTTAGCTGTTCTTTGGACAGAACTGGCCATACACATATAGGTTTAGGCTGTCGTCTAGATGTTGCCTTTAACACCACTGTCTCTCCGTTTTGTGGTTTTGCATTGCATTATTTGGAGAACTGCAAGGTCTAAAGCGACATAAATATAGGTAGGTTCACAGCAATCGGTTAGAGAAACTTAAAACATAAGTGGTTCCACTGGGTGTAGGCATAAAAACAAACTTTTACATAACTGTAGCGTTTTACCTGTGAATAAAGCTATCCTTTTCAGGTCATTTTCAGAGAAATGCAAAGACATCATAAACAAGGCAATTTGACCTCACTTGTAAAGAAGCTTTCAGAAGCTTCGTGGAGAGCTTGCCCGTTTTAATGGCGACAGAGGCTGTTTGAATGTCACAGTAATGAGAGAGCTTTGAAAGGTAACAAAACCGTCCCACTCACTTATGGTATTTCAATTAGAGGAGAATTTCAGAGCTTGCAGCCTTCCTGAGTGACACAGGATTTGCTATTAAATCTTAAAGTATCTGTCTTTCATGAAAGTACCTCCCCATGTACAGCGGCACATAAAAAGCCACAGCAATGTAGATCACCCACTCATTCTGCTGTGTGCTGTCACAGGAAATATGCATATGGGTCCTTATAATTCTTTTTATCATTCTGTGATCAAAATGATGTATTTATAACACTTAATTATTAAGGGATATTTGAAGTGAGGTTTTGTTAAAATTGTGTAAGTAGTCATGTATCAGAATGAGACTCACATTCTAACGTCAAGCAAAAAAATTGCATCAAGGTTTTCACACAAAAATGTTAAACAAAATTATACAACATTATCTTATATTGAGGCTGGTGTAGGGGTTAAGTGCGCGACCACATATGGAGGCTATAGTCCTCGAGGTGGCTGTCCCGGGTTCAATTCCCGGACCTGGCGGCCTTTGCCGAGTGTCTCCCTCTTTCTTTTCCCCTCTTTCCTGTCTACCTACTATCAAGGATAAAGGCCTCTAGTGCCGAAAAAAATATCTTTAAATAGATAAATAATACAATATTGAATATTATAATTAGAATACTGTTAGGCATAACATTTATTTATTATTTCCTATTTTGATATCTAGAAAAGCAAAAATAACATAAGCATATGCTTTTTGGCATTAATTAGTTGGGCTATCTGCTCAGGTAGAACAGTCAGCTGCTTAACAGACAAGCTGCTTGTATGTTGCCAACTGTACCTTTAAAACAGTTTTACTTTAAAAAAGTTATAGGTGATGATCTTTTTGTTTCCACACCCTCATTTTCCAATGTTGAATGTTGAACCCTTTCTTTCAGCCAGCTGACCAACACTGAACAGCAACAGGTAGAGATGGGTTTCGCTGAGAAACCTCAGTATTGAGTAACCATGAATATGTCTTTTTTAGTTAGTCTGTCTAAAATGTAAATAATTATTTATATTAGACAGGTACTCTGCCCCGTACCAACACTTTTGACATCTTCATTTGGTATAAATCCAGATTAGTTGGTACCGAAGGCTAAAGCTAACAACTTCTCCAGCAGCGGCCAAACCAAAACAGACTTTAACCATCATAAAATAACTCCAATCTCAAAAATGTAGTATTTTATTGTAGGCATTTTATTAACATTTAAACCAGAGTTCTGTGTTTTTGAAAAGAAGACAGTGTTTATTTACATGCCAAATCAATTTAGGAGGCATTGGGCGACAAGAGATCTTCCTGGGTAAAATGTGTGCCAAAAATGGAACTTCTTGAGTGTTTCAGATCAAAAAATCTAGCGCTTGTGAAAAAGCAGTTTTAGTGAATGCTGTTGTATTAATGTCTAAAGAGACTTACTTTTCTATTAAGTATTTATTCTGATAAGAAATGCTTTACATATTTCATTCTCAGCAAGTGTTTTACAAAAGAAGAACATCTGTTGTGTACTGCCTCCTATCTCCCATGTAAATAATTATTGGCTTAAAATAAACTACTTCAATGTTTTTTAGATTGGAGTCATTTTCAAACGACAGAACTTTGTTTTAGTCTTGGGTTCTCTCGGACTAGCAGTTGGCTTGAGCCTTCAGGACTACCTAATCTGGATTTACATTAAATTAAGAGACCATGAAAGTTATTTACTGCAGGTAAAATGTGAACTGCTAATAACCTTTTAATAGAACCCCACTAGAAAACTCCTGTGCTATTCCTTTAAGACACACTGCTTCAAAGAGAGCAATCATGTTCTGGATTAGAGAAGCATTTGTCACAATCTGTTGTCCTAATTAGCATTACATGGAGGGTGACACATGCACATATGGCAGCAGTCTTAATAAGTGCTAGCACTTCATCATCGGCCCATGTAGTATAATACTAATGGATTTCACACTTTTGGACCATTCGTCAGCCCCTCATTGTAAATTGTGTGACTCATTCGGAGTGAAAAAAAAATATGCTAGATTTTATCCCATTTCATTAAAGTGGCAGCTGGGTGGGGATGCTCAGCAATGGTGGGCAAACTCACAAAGCTTTCCCAGTGTGTACAGCCTACACTGTTCAGATAAATAGTTTTAAAAATCGAGCTGAGGACGTATTTCCACAGGATTAGCTGGCATGTAAGCGCTTATGTCTCTTGATGAATGGTTCTTCACATTTTACTTGCCTGGCAGAAAAGATGTGCAGGGTGACAGAGGGCAAGAGAATGGAAGAGAGCAAAGTAAAACATTCATTGGACAATGCTGATTGATGGCTTTATCATGTTAGAGATGAAGTGGCCTTAGAAGGCCAGGGTGATGATGTATTGTTTAACAATACATTGGAGCAGTATGTGAATACAAACCGCTGCTTTCACTTCTCCTCATTTCAATGTCTGTGAATGTGGGCGTATGAGTGAGCGCAGTTTGGTGTCTCGGTTGGAACAGGAAGACTGATGAGTGGAGATATGATGTATGCCCTGTCTTCCTGCTCCCTCTCCATCAGCAGGCATCCATAGCATGGGTAATGATGATGAGGGCAGCCTGGGCAGCAGCATATTACTTCACAATGCTAAAAGATAATGAACTAGCTTCCTGCTCTGCTAGGGAATGTTCTCAGGCATTCAATTTACTACCTTTAAAATCCATCTCCAGATGACCTCAAACACACACACACACTCATCTGCTGCTTTTTCACAGCTTAGGTGGAACTGGGAATACCAACAGAGAGAGTGGCAGAGGTTGATAAGGAGGCAATTAATCTGCATTTTCTAATATATGAATGGATGTCTGTCTGGTTGAAACAGTAAAAATAAATGGTGATAACAAACTTGGAAGAGGAAATGAGGAGAAGAAAATCTAAAAAGATAGTTGAAGAAGAAACATAAGCGGTTTTACAGTTGACTCTCACTTTGAACTGACTGAAACGTGTGACTACTCCTTTCATTTTGTGCTTTGGAATAATTGCTGCATTTGCAAAAGTTCTGCTTCACATTTTGAAATTGGTGACAAAGTGGCGAGCGGTGCTCTGAGCCCTCCCAGTGCATGTGGGTATGTGACAACACACAGGAGGAACCTTCTTCAAAGAGATCTAAAAAAAAGAAACTCCTCTTTCAAAAGGACGCTGCTGCTTTCCCACAGGTGTTACCCATGGCAAAGCCCATCACTTGGCTGCTGTAGTGCAACAAAAAAACTTTTTATAATAAACTATTCCAGCAGGTCACAACAGTTTTCAGTACCCTATAAAGGGGACAGGGTTAAGTCAGAGAAACTGCTGAAACAATAGACCATAAATGTGATCAAACCTATAATAAACTTCCCATTACTAACAGTCAGTAGCTGCATTACCCTGAAATCTTTAAATACATAGTTAGATATAGAGCTTCGCTCAATTTCTGAAATTATTTTAAGTCAAAACTCAAATAAAGCTGCCTTTACATTGTGACAAGATTTGGTCTAAGTTAATTACACTAATTAGAGGTAATCACAGATGAACAGACTTTCTGAAGAAGGGTGGTGTCAACAGATGCCCTCAACATTCTCTGTGAAGTCTTTCCTTTTAACTTGATTAAACAATTATTTAAGTATTACCCCTGTCACTGAAAACATTCTTGTCTTTAGCCTCGTCTGTTTCCATGTCATTTATTACTTTTATTTCGTGTCAGCATCATTGATCATGAAACTGTTCCATAATTTTTAAAAGTAGTAAAAATGCGAAACGAAGGCACCAAAGGGATTGACTCACAGTCGTGTATATTGAAACAAGGAACTTGCATTACATCCATTAATTTATCTTTAATTACAGATGTTTAATCTTATACAGATATTTTAAAAAGTCAAGCCTATATTGCATTGATTCATCTTTTAGAAAAAAAAAGTTTTTACAAAGACATTAGAGATATATGTAATGACACCCCAATAGTCGATTTCAAATTAATTTAACTGTTGAGTTTTAAGTTTTTTTCAGCCAATGGCCACTAGGCTGGATGATGAGCCATATTTATGAAAATCTTGTTTATAAATACTGATAGAAAAATGCCTTTTCTACTTATTTTCTAAAAGCAAACATGGAGTTTGCAAGACATTACTGGAACTTTAACTGGAACCATTTGCTTTGGTCAGGTGAAACTGAAATTGACAAACACTCCAGGTGTGGTTGGCCTAACACAAAAGAGTAACATATGGGAAGAACCTAATACCTACTGTTAAGTATGGTGGATAAACTGTGATGCTTTGGGCCAAAGATCCTCTAAACCTTTTTTGAGTGAATGGCATGAAACTGACTAGTCAATGCAGCTTTTAAAATGAAAATATGTGATGTTTGGTAAACTCTACTGGGACTTTAATTGGAATCAGTATTTTTGTCAGATGAGAACAAAGTTCTGTTTTTTTAGTAACAAATGATTCAGATAGATTGGGCATATGAACATGTATGAAAACACTTATTTCCCATTGTTACGTACAGTGGAGGATCTGATATTCTGTGGGCGAATTTCTCTTCTTCTCATTAGAGTTAATGGCTTCATGAACTCTTTGAAATATCAGGAGATTATAAATATCTTGTGGACTCTACCAGTAAACTGTAAATGTGTCTCCAATTGATATTTCACCACAATAATAATCCAAAACCAGTGGGCAAATGAGACTTAAAATGGTTCACCAGCAGTGATGGGAATAATGGCGTTAAAATAAGAGGTGTTACTTTTTATAGTAACGAGTAATCAAACAAATAACTTTTTTCAGTGTTACAATGCTGAACTTTACCGTTACAACAATAAAATGGGGTGTGTTATAAACTAAACCTACTCATTGAATCTTAACTCATCTGTCGTGGCTCACAGCCACAGAAGCTAAGCTTGTTTTCTTTGGTGAAGGGAGGAGCAAGGGGTAAGACAATCGCATAAGTGATTATGATTGGCTAAGGTAGAGTAAGCTATCATTGTAAGACAATCAGAGGCAGTGTTTAGTTTATACACAAACCACAATTGCACATGGTAGCCCTGCTCAGGCAAACTAGCAGATGTAAGCTGCAACACTGGCAGGTTTGAAGGGATAGATTGCGTTTTTAATGGGGGAGTACAGACACTACTTTATTCTCCTTGAGGTAAAAGGCAAGAACGTACATGTGAAGTAAGTTTTAAAAATTGAGTAAGCTGAGTAAGTACTTGTCTATTTAATTCCACTTTATGAAACTGATTTGTGAAAAAAAAATCTAAATTCGTGAACATATTTAAACTCAAAAAAGTAACACAATAGTTACTTTCTTTGTTAACTGGTTACTTTTATAATGGAGTAACTCAGTTAGTAACTCAGTTACTTTTTGGCAGTAGTAATTAGTAACTATAACTAATTACCTTCTCAAAGTAACATGCCCAACACTGTTCATTGGACACAAAATCAACCTACTTTGTTGGCAACATCAGACTCAAATCTTAATGAAAACATGTGGGTTGAGGTGAAGACAAGACGCGATAAGA